CTTTGCTCGGACCAATCCACACTGGTGGCGAATAGCAGAACATTCGGCAGCGACTACAGCACCCAGTATTCGACCCGCCGCGCGTGCTGCTGTCACTACGCTTGCTTGTTGTTGTTGTTGTTGTTGTTGTTGTATTGGTTTCAGTTTCGTGACATGGCAGGGAGTAGCCGCGAAGAGGGTCCAATTCCCCGGGCGTTTTTTATGTTTTATTTTGCGTCACGGTCCACCGTGCCCAAGGACAAACGCTTGACCGTACTGGCTTGGACCTCACGCTGGATCCTTTCGCGCACGGTCATTTGTACGTCGGTCTTTCCCGAGTGCGTACGTCGAACTACATGATTATTTTGACTACCCTGAGGACAGAATTAATCGTAATGATGGGTACGCCATCGTCAACAACGTTGTATTCAAGTCGTTGCTACCTATAGAGAACGTCTAGACCACGGTCACGTCATATTTCGTGGGGAATACCGTACTTGCGTTCATGTCGAGGACACGTGGCAAAGCTCACCGTCTCTCCCGTGTTGTTTTTTATATTGGGTTTGCTTGCATGGCAAGGATTGGTACGCTGGATTCTTTCGCGCACGGTCATTTGTTGGTCGACCCTTTCCCGAGGGCGTACATAGGTCAAATCGTATGATTATTTTGACCAGGACTCCATTAGTCGTGATGAGTCGCCAACGTGACCAACAACGTCGTCTTCTACACGCTGCTACATATAGAGCACGCCTGGACCACGTCATATTTAGATACTACTGTACTTGCGTCCATGTCGAAGACACGTAGCAAAGCTCACCGTCGTGTGTCTTCGTGTTTTCTATTTATTGGTTTTGGTTGCATGGCAAGGGTTATTGGCACGCTGGATCCTAACGCACGGTCGTTTGTACGTCGGCTTTCTGCACTCTTCGTGGTGAAGTCTGCACCTGCTGTTTCTTTTCATTTCTTGTTCTCGTTGTCCGCCTGATCGGCCTTCAATGCTTCTCGGCAGTTTTTCATATCGTATCTCTTCAACGGGGGCCTCTCGTGTGAGTATGGATGGCATTTTCCGATTTCTTCCGTTCCATCAACATTCGACGTCGTTTCATACCGGAGGGGAACTACCCCTTCGCCTATCGTCACAACTCACATTGCCGTATTTCAACTTGGACTTGCGCGTGTACCGTACGTCCTGGGTCCAACGGACGACGGCGAAGCGACAGATACCTCACTTGCGCTTCACGTTCGTCTTCATTACCTACCAACTACATCTACGTTGTTGTTCATCCTTCGTTCCTGTCATTACGTGCACCACAAGCTCACAATGACCATCATGCCCGTCTCAATGGACTATACCATCCTTCGCCGGTACCGACCTCCCCATGTCCGGAGGTTGTTTCCATCGCTTATCTCCTTGCCTTCATCATTCCGACACATACCTCCGGTTTGCGCCTTCCTATTTCCAATCAACCTACACATCCTTCAGAATGAGCCGCGGACAGTCACCGCGACCGACTTTCTTTTATTTTACATCAGCCTCTTCCAACCATCTCCCTGTACACTCGCCCTTCCGCACAACCCACGCTGTTCCCACCTCATCTCCTCATGTCTTCGTCTAGCTTGCCACTGTGGCCCCCATGCCATGCACGCCGGGTTACCCCATTTAGTTAACTCCTCGAAAAATAATACTCCGGAGTACTTCGTATACCACATGGACTCTCGGAGGTGGGAGGTCGCGGGGGGCACAAGTGGGAGTCGTCTCGGATCAAGCTTGTCAAGGGATACCTTCGAAAAAATCAGGTGAAGAAGCTGTCGATGTTTGCTGCTGTTGGGTATATAGTCTATACCCATTTAGTCCATTTCCCCAAAATATACATCACATGGACTCGGGGGTGCGAGGTCGCGGGGGCACAAGGTGGGCACCGTCTCGATCAAGCTTCTCAAGGGATATCTTCGAGAAAGTCAGGTGAAGAACCTGTAGATGTTTCATGCTCTTGTTGTAGCAGTCAATGCAGTTGCTGAACCCGAATTCGTCCAGTTGTGTGGTGTGCGGACGCTGAGCAGGAAAGGTCTTAAGATATCTCCGCAGTATCGCGTTGCCCCCCTTTGATTGGCTCTTTGCTCGATGGCCGTAGTCCTCGCAAACACACAACCCGCTCGAACAATTAACGCCATTAGTTCCTATGATCAATATCACACGGTGGCAGCAAAACTCAACCCATTGCGTGTTTTATGCACACATAAATAGCAGGCACGCAACTGTCAAAGAGAACGATCACTTGTAAGGCAGCAGCGGTAAATCAGCTGCGCTCGCGTTCTCTGAGGAAATACATTCACAGAGGTCAACACGCATTGACATGGTGGAAATCGTCGACGACATCAAAAGACAACCTGATCGCCGTGGGTTATTCTCCACCAGTACCCTATCATTTTGCCCCGATCCCGTATTTCGGGTTAGTCACAATCAAGCAAGATGCATCTCCTGGCCCTCCACACGGGCACTGTCGGTCAAAATATCCTCAATGGCCCAACGCTTGTCCTGATCGAACGCGAACACCTCGCGAGGGTCTGTCACATAACCCGTGATGGCCGATGCCGCAGCCGTGTAGGGTGATGCCAGGTAGATGCCAGCGTCCTAGGCAGGCATACACGATTCAACGGGGAGATAAGGAATGTGAAACATTGCGTCTGCGAGTTGAGCCTGGAGTAAAAAAAGAAGAGTGACGCAAATCAACAACACGCATCGTGTGACAACCCCATGTGGAAGAGAGTGCCGGTGGCGGCAATACACAAATAGCCGGCATGGGTGTGTTGTTAAGTCCGAAGAAGGCGCAACTGAAGGTTCCATTCCGTTGTCTTCATTCAACAGTAGGGCGCCGGGCGCTGTGGATTGGTGCATCCGAGGGCCAGGCACAAACAATTCAGACCGAGGCGTTCAAAACACATGGACGGCATGTACGGAAGCCCGAATAAACAGCAGCCCCAAAACCCCGATCATGTCCATCAGGACTTGGAGCGCGGAGGCCGATCGTCCCAACAACTGGTGAAACAAGTTGTTTTCCTTTTCCGTTCAACGCATGTAGTTCCATATATATTCCCAACCTAATAACAACTCCCGACCTCAGCAACTGGGCGCGCGGAATGTGCCTCAACGCAACGTCCCGATGGGTATAGCGTTAACATCCGAGTTTGCATGCTCTTCGAACGAGTTTTGGCTGGAAACGTTACGTTGTAAATTATCAAGATTTTGCCCACCGGGATGTTTGTTTTTCGAAGGCACTAGAGACACCTACAATTATGTTTTGAGTCATGACGCCGGTCTTGGCCCATTTGGGCGCGTCAATCTCTCTATTACAACTCCCCTGTCGCGAGCTCGAGACTCAAACGGCGAGTAGAGTTACAGCACCGTGAATGCGCACAACCATTATTTCAGTCATTTAGCTAGACGTTGGGGTGTGGTGAATCGGCTTGAAATGGTGTTCAAGCATTTGTTTCGGCTGTCTTCCAGACCTGAGCGTGCTAATCTTACGATCACAACGCCCCTTGTCGCGAGTGCGAGACTCCAAGGGCGAGGCGAGTTACCGCACCGTGATCCCCGCCTAAATCTCCTGCACCACGGTACTGTCGACTCGAAAGAATCGCTAAGCTCGTTGGACAAGGTTTTGTTGGAGAACGCCAACTCAAACAATGACTACTTACTACTAGATGAGCTCACTATACTGTAGATAGCATAGCTCGCGGCTCGCCCATGTTCTGTTCTGCTGCTGTAGACTACTCTACCGCAAGAAAGCTAACTAACTGCAAGATTCCATTATCTACTCAAATATAGAAAATGATTCAATTTTGTTTCAATGCAACCTCCAAGTAGGCATAGCGAGGTAGGTAGGATTATGGTCAAGGCATGGGAGGATTGACTGTGGCACGCCATGCTTGCTTGTGTTCAAATTCTTCTTTCGGTGATGACCATATTTTTGAGGTGACATAGTCTCCCTGAAAGCTTTTCCTGCGAATGCTAGATGATGTACGTTATACCAGATGTGTGTGGCTACAACACTCAGTGTGATCAACGCGACAGGCACGCGACTTTATTGTGTATTTTGCTTGCTACGGCTCTGCCTCGCATCGGATACACCCGCCTACCATCGTATACCCCTACCGGAACAAAACTCGAGGCTGCCCTGTAGTCCAACAAAACATTTAACCATTCACCCGCCTTTGAGTCACACCACCGCTGTATGGGAAGTTGGAACGACAATGGTTGACGTCGTCCTTCCAAGTAGATATAGAACTGTCAACCGACCAAAGGGTTGAATGAAAACCCGAGCCCGGAGATTTTGTATGAATATGGAGCATTTCGTCTGTTCGGCTGCTCGCCTTCGGTTTCCTCCGCTGGGACAGCGTTATTTCTCGCACTTTCTTCTGCATGGCACGCAGAGGACCCGTCGGTACGTTACCGGTTACGTGCGGGTCTCGCGAGACACCGTTGGTGCGCGTTAGGGCCGCCTAGAGTCGCCGGGACTAGCTCTTTTTTCAGGGGTTGGGAATCCGAACCATAACAGCCTTCTCTGATGGGAAGAAAACTGAAAACAGAACATTTGGTTTGCCCCGCGCCACGCGTCACGCGCCCACACAGCTGCTGCGACTGTTGTACACACCCACCACACAGCAACTGGCGCATGCGTACCCGCAGCGGGACCAAGACTCTTGGCGCTGCTCATGGCAACATACCACGTGACACAGAAGTCCTCTCGCACAACTCTGGCAACGATCATTTGAATTTCAATTCCGAAAAATCGAAAATTCGAATACAGAAGTTGTGGTACGGTAGCAGTCTACATCTGTGACTGTTCTTGGGTAAGTTGAGCACCTCTTCGATCCGTTGTTGGTGTTTGTTTGCGTGAAAAAATCCCACAGACCATGGGAAACATGATCACAAAAGAAGAGTAAGTGACCAAACACAGTGGATTACAGCAGTAGGACCTACCTGCAGCAAAGACGCCGCTAGCCTAACAGCAAACACTCGTGCACAAGCGAAAAGTCACGGCTGGAGAAAACAAAATACCCCGCACGTGATGCAATTTCCAGGCAAATTAGTATGCAGGTTGCGCGCACACCGGCACTACCGAACGTCGTGCCGACCAACCATGCGACAGCGATGACATTGATTGGCCATGTCCTCTTGCGTCGCCCCCGGGAGGCAAATCAATTAACTTCCGCCTGTTTTCGTGCTTCAGACATCTTTCGCTGGCGGAAGCGAGTCGCTTCTCACGCTCCCTTCTCAGGGGCACGCAAGGATGTCGTCGGTACCTTACCACGCCGAGGGAGATGAACACAACAAATAAAAACAATCGAAAACCCTACGGCGTGTCATCTGGATGTGGTTCATCGACCCAGATTCGGAGATTTCTACCTTGTGTCCCATGCGTCCAGGGAAGTTGCGGTTGGTGGTGGAGACGCATTGGAAAGGCTGGTTCATGCGGGCGTACGTGTCAGCTGGCCCCCCTAGGCATGCAGCGCAGGAAGGAGAAGCAGGTTCCAAGCACCCGGCCTCGCGGAAAATTGATGCCAGCGTTCGTCCACCGATCTGGCTCGCGAAGACGAGATGGGGGGGGGGGGGGGAGGGGTGTCAGTCGGGACTACGTTTCACCTGTATCAGAAGTTTGCCAACTGGTGCATCCAGTCGTGAACTGCCCATATTTTCGTAAAGCTCGACGCCACGTGGTTTTCATACTTGTACCTGACAAGAACGCTTACATCGAGAAAGAGCGACGTGTCGTTTGCTAGATGCACGTTCGAGAAGGTCGAATTGGCGGTTTCAACAAAGAAAGAAAGAAGAAAGAAAACACGGCTTGCGACGTTGTATTCGGGTGCGCCAATAATGAACTTCCACCCAAAAGGTGTAGGAGTTTATTACTCAATATGAGTCAGAAGTTATGGGCGCCACTCAACACAGCGGGCAGTTTCCGGCCAACCTCCGCTGACAAGGCTCTCGGCTTGCTTGCGCGCGGACCCTGACCGATTTTCTGTTCACGGCGACGACAAGGGGAACACTCTCTCCTTCTCTCCTTCGCAACCCCGCTGTCGCGGGCTCGATACCCCGAAACGGGAGCAGAGATGTTGTGCAGCACCGTGAGCACGCTCCAATCGCCAGCTTCGCTATCCACTGCACTGTTGCATGTACGATTCGGACGTCCGAACTTTTTTTCTTTTTTTTCCATCGGTGTTGTGGAGGAGAGGGTTTTTCAACACTAGACTACTGCTGTGTGTGTACAAGCCACCCACAGGGACACGATAAAGGAAATTAGTAAGGTGATGGTTTGCATCATGGTATGGACTAACGCCGCCACCGGCAACGGGCATACGGGCAAACATGTCCTACTGTATTCTAAAAAAAACTGGGAAAAAGACAACGTTGCCCGATTCTAAGAATCAACCTGGCTCTTTGAGCATCGAAGTATTCTCCGTATGCTGTCGCCTTCTCTCACGGAGCTTAACGACCATTGCGCGAAATACTTTGGATGTAGTCCCAGCTACCATATGTTTGCCTAAAGTAACACAACCGGTAGGCACCAACGCACATAAGTCGGGATGGTGTGTGCATGTGTGCGCCAGGGTTCAACCCTACTCAACGATAACGATTTCTTGCCGATTTACAGCAGCACGACCCACGGTTCAACCTTCGACTTTTCGAACCTGCCTCTACATGTGGCATACCATCTCGCAAAAGGATCCTTCGCGGGGTGCAGCACGGACACAGGGCTTACTCCATGGAGTTCTACGTGCTGGACAAAAGAGGCGTCCGACAAACCGCCAGGAAAAAATCAAGGCCAGACAACAAGTTCCCATGATGTAACATAGCTCCGGCCTCAAGAAGTTGCAGTGAATAGACATCAGTCCTTCCCACAAGTATACCGCGCGCGGCTACGTACACGTACGCATCGACTTCAAACGAACAATGAGCTTATGATGCAATTTGCAACGTACCTTCAACGTCTGGATATCGTTGTACACCTTCTGAGTAGCAGGCACCAGAAAAGTCGGTACCCGAACCTGGTGAGTAGTGACAGACATTGGACACACAATATGAAGTGGGTGCGGCGACCCGAAACCAGGGTTGTCTCTGAATGTACCCCACGCACATGACACCGTCCGTAAGGGATAACAAAGACATGCGCATATGCATTTCCGAGGGGTTGACCCCGTCTTAGGAAGAGGTGGGGAGCAGTTTGGCGGGTCAGATAAAGAAAATGTTCGCCTGGTGCTGTGGGTAACCGACTTGTGGTTAAATTACGCGATATTAACCTACTCCGTTTCGAATGCGAATCCACACCTATTGCTACGCACCGCTACACTTGGCGTTGACCATACCGTCTGGCCTTGCGAGCAAAACAGTTCCAAACAAGCCGACTATGTCTGGAACATGATGACGTCTTTCTCTCCGGAGCCGGTTTGTCAATTCCACTTCCACCAAATGATGATTGAGAGTATCCAGCGGGCGTTTCCACACTTCGAGAGATCAACAAGATTTTTCGTGAGCAACCACCCGGCCACCATTAGTGTTAACCCGAAACATTATCCTAACCAACATCACCAACGGGACCAGGCACCAACCGCGCATTACTCGCATCTCGCATTGCGCCCCTCCTTGTCCGATTGTCGCACATAGACAGAAAACGGCACGTCGTGATGACTCGTTCGTTCGGTTGGCAAAACTTTTGAGAAGGCTTGAAATCGATAAGGTCTCACAATCTTGCAGAACAATTACAGCTGTATTCGATAGTATGTTTTCCGGGATCGCAGCTAATTTTTTCCTGTCGCGCGCACCGAAGGCAAGCATGTGCGCTGCTATATTTTTCACCTCGCACACAATCACACAGTCCGCAGCATGTGCAGGCGCTCAAGATATGGTCGCTGGGTGCAATGCTTGGTCGTCAACTGTTCGTGCAACGAAGTACGCACGCAACCGCGGGCGCAAAATGTGCACAGTCACCGAAGCCAAGATCCAGGGCATAATATCCTCCCACGCGACCCCATGTCGTGCGTCGGGTTCCGTTCATGTTACATGCTCAAACAGGGTCTATACGTTCGAGCAATTTGTCAAGATTTTCGAGTGGTATGAACACCACACCGGAGCCGCACATTTCTGGCGAGTCAGAATGGCCGACTGGGACCCAAACCACATTCCTTTCTCTACCAGTACATTTGAGCCCTGTTTGGTACAGCTCCAATGCGTTCATCTTGTTTCACCCGTGCCCAAGTATCCTAAGAACCGGAGTGATATTGCAATCATATGTTTCGTCGAATTAGCAAACGGACGCGGACCGTAAACTCCAGTTCTTACCTTTTGGTTTTGGAGTATCCGCGCTGCAGCAGCAAAATCCTCGGTCTTCCCTCCAGTGCAAGAGCCAATGTAGACGCGGTCGATTTTAGTACCGCGGCAGTCCTTGGCCAAAGCCTTGTTGTCTGGAGAGTGGGGCTTGGCCACAACAGGCTCAAGGTTGCTCATGTCGTACCTTTTCTTCGAGAAGTACTTGGCCTGTGGAAGCAGTCACGCAGAACGCAGCTTGTTGTGCCCCTGAAGCAGGCCTTGCTTCTGTATCACAGCTGTATGAAGAAAATGTGTACCAGGTTGTAGGCCAACAAGAGTAACATTTTTCAAAGCCGAACATTGCGTCGCGATACCGCTGACTAAATAGTAACGGTGCGTGAGAGGAATGAAAGACCGCGAGCTGGTGGAACAAAAGACAGCAAAAGGAGCTAAGCCTGAACACGAAACGGCAGCAGCAGCTTTCACCAGACTCGTAAGCAACATGTGTAACACAAAGAACAAACAGCTCCTGCTCACGTTGGGATCGGCCTTGAATATTTCGTATGGCTTATTCCCTGCGTTCCTGGCGTTCACGTACGCCGTAGTGACGTCATCTGCAGGAATCACTCCATTTTTCCCTCCGGCTTCGATTGCCATGTTGCACCTGGCCCCGTAGGGTAGACAGGCCGGAGTCGCAACCAAACAGCGCTCGGTTTCACCAGATGCACCATGTCGTTGACGAAGCTGCGGAGGCACACTATAAAACGCAATGGTGGCCTATCGGCGAGAGCAACCGACCTAGTCGCCACTAGACGTATTCGGGCAGATGTACACACTCCTCTGCCTCATCATCTCATGATCAAAACAGGCGGTATTTCGGGTCACACTAATCTTGACACCCGACATCGATACAACACTACTACATGCCGCATGTATGGACAAACAACAAGGTACAGCAGATGCACTACGTTAGAGAATCACGTCCAGCCGCGGGAAACTCACAGAGTTTGCCGTTCTTCCATGGAGAGTTGGCCCAAAGCTGAACCTGCGAACTCCATGGAGCGGTAAGTAGCGCCCGCCACACCAATATCGCCAATAATTTGGAGAATGATATCCTGCATGTCGACGTCCGGGTTGAACAAGTCGTCAGCGGAACCGCACACGAAATAGGCAAGTCGAGGAAGTGTACTCGGCCATGTTTGAGATATCGCGTGGCAAGGAGGAACGCTTTCTGACGCTGCCGGATGTGAACAGCGTAGAACGGCACCGCTGTGCCGTTATATAATTCTTGACATGATCACGGTTCGGTGTGGTGCGATGTGGTGCGGTGCGGTGCGATGCGTCAAGTACACATCTCACGGTTACAAATATGGCAGATTTTTCCGGTCCTTGATCGAAAACCGCCCGCGGCCTTGGTGGCGGTACCCCGTCGAAGAAAACCACTCAAATATTAAGGTCATCCGTGACAAAACAACGGGAGTATATCCACAAGTTATCGTGAAATACATTTGGTCTAGTCTTGTGGTCCATCGAAAGTAGATTTGTAAGCACCTTCAGCTGTGCATGGAGGCCGCCAATGACAACCTCCGCCGCCTGGCGGCCAGAGAACCCGATACGAAAAAAAAAAGTACAAACCATTTTGGCTGCACCAGGCGGCTCATGTCAACACTCGCTACTAATTGTGCATAACTCAGACAGAGCTGACGTTGACAACAATTTGCTCTCCCGCACGGGCAGCGTGGACACATGAAGCTTTGCCTTTCCTGGTGTGCGTCTGCATGGAAACAACGCGACTTGACTACGGTTTTTACCGCGGTTTGGCCACGGAGAGGGACAAATGGCACCGCGATAAACCGCATCTTGGTTCCTTTAGAATCCCCGCGACGCGGTGCGGTTTTGTTCATCTCAGAACGTGATGTGCGAAGCGAACCGCACACCCAAAAAAAAACGCAGCGTATGAACATCGCTAGTCATTGCCGAGAGCTGTAAAATCATGACCGTCGTGGCTCGGCGAGCAAAAAGTAGCGGTATCATGTACACATCGACAGCGTGAATGTCCAGTCCACTCCATCGACTCTCCCTACATCCGCGCGCTGAAAGCATGGAGCAACCACTGTTTTCCCCAATCGTACAAGCAGTATGACTACGGATGTAACTCAGTTTGTGTCTGTCCATCGAGTCAGCCCCGCGGGGCCCTTGCCGAGGTTTATCTTTACGCGTTGGCGAGAGCTATTCGAAAAATGCGTTCCACATAAGAAACGATTTCACACAAACGAGTGAAAATCCGTTTTTCAGATATTTGAGACTTCAATGCATCCCTCCGGAGTGGGGTAAAGAGTGCAAGGCGGCAAGGGGTGACGTAAATGCAAAAAGCAGAGAGAGGAAGAAAAACATATGTTGGATGCATACGGAGAATACATATTGCATATCAATACACTTCAAAAAAGGGGTTTGTTCCATAGTCGGGGAGCTAGCTCGGCGAGGTGTTCCTTCGATACATGTGACGATCCTTCTGTAGTCTATAGTTCAATTTTCTGGATTTTAGTTGGTTGAAAGCCCGTCGTCGTCATCACGCGGCGGTGTTCTCCAAGCAAACGCACACCCACCACCCAGCGTGCGAACGTGACCGTAGCACCATAGCATGTCTTAAAATCCCGGTGGGGATGATGAAGATAAGACAGTAGCAGTCTACAACGTCTCCTTCGTATTCAGGACTCAAGTGAACTGAAAACAAACAACACAAAACTGCGACTTGAATCCTGTCGACACAGGGGGGGGTTCCTCAAACCGACCGTGTTTTCTGTTCCAAAAAAGATAAATCGCCGTTGTGGGGTATGCATACGTTACAGTAGTACAGTGTGTGACCTGATCTCTCTTCTGACGTTGTGGCTAATAACTTTGTTGGTACGTGCCAGAAACAGCTTGTCACCGCTTACATTTTTGGTTGCAGCTGTGCACAGCTGTTGTGGAAGTTACGTCTCACGGGGGACTGTTCAAACTGATCTCTCTCCTCGACACGTTATGTATGATTGCTCCAATATTTTTTTGGGGTACACAATCTCAACACACCATGATGCTTCGATCACCGCCTTGCAGTATATACGCTGGGAACACTAACGTATGCTCTTCCCCTCTCGTGCCCCGCCCACACGTAAACGCTCGCCCCCCAGCCGCTCTGACAGCTGCCGGGCGAACCCTCAGCTGTTGTTGGCATGCTGACACATGGTTAAACATCAGATCAGAAACAGCTGCACCGCGTACGTATAGGTTTGTTGAAGCTGACGTCTTCTGCCGGGCTGTTTGACACGACAGGCGACGACTGGCCCTACAGCTGGAGAAATCAGTGAAGAGTCTTCTTACAGCCAAAGGCAATTCCTGACGCCTTGAGGAAAGAAATACTGTACGTCTTACAAGCAAAGGACACAGGAAACGAACTACTGTACGTCCAGAGTTACACCTCGAAATACAGCCAATCACTTGATTGCTGGGCTTACTGAGTTACGTGAGGACTGAACGCACCACACTTATCTGCGAGACGACGCATACAACTACGATATGCCGAAAGGACAAATAACTAAATCACCAGCTATTACGCACACGCATATCGAGCTACAGCACAAGCATAGTATCCTACGGTGTCAGCAAAACTTGGTTCGAACAAAAAAAAAGAGACATTTGGCTTGAAAATGCCCTACGGTTTGGTACTTCAAAGTTTGCGCCGTGATTGCTTGGGTGGCAACAAAAGGCCACGGGATCTCGAAACTTTGCACGGTAGTTGGTTGGGTGCGAACAACAGGATATGATATCCTTGTTAACTACTGGTATAAAGCTCGGGAATTTCATTTTGTGGCATCGAACCTGCCGATAATTGACAATGCTTTGTGGCAGATCGCAGTAAACGTGTGTCATCTCTTTACCCCGAAGCAAACATGAATCATCGACGACAAATTGTACCTACTATTATAGTAGCCGTGCCCTCTCGTGAGCCCATTTTCTTTTCGGGGTCGCCGTTTATACCGATTCCTGTCGTTCTTGCGGCTCAAGGTCGGGAAGAACTCAGCACGTCCCGAGCGTATCGCGCCATGCAGAGAGCTGTGTCAAGAGCTACCCCCGCTGGACCGTCGGCACATTGATCTCGATATCAGGCTTTTTTCGTTCTCTTTGAGTTCTTTCAGCAAGATGATATTTGGGTTCGTTCTTTCAAGTGACGATCAATAAAACAAACGGTAAATCGCCACTTGCCAACAAAGGTCGCTATCAGCAGCAGGACACCTCTTCCTCCTCGACCGGTCCCCAGACAGAGGCAAGGCAATTATCGGCGTAGGCGGAACCCGATATTCTCGAATGTTACGAACTCAAATGTTGGGCTTCCTATCAACTTGCTGCATCAAACAAGCAACACACGAGAGGCCCAATAGGCCGCTACGGGGGGTGGCTTCGTCGTTGCTGTTGCTTCTTTCTCTGGAGAGGTATCGCCGAGAGACTCAACACGTGGTGGAACTTCATTTTTGAGCACATGTCCACCTCGCCAACTATTTTTCTGAGCCTCTCAGTGCGTCACCGTCTCTACCGACGAATACACGGAAGGCACCTACCCCAGCTAAGGTCAAGTAGTTATATCATCGTTGTTGCTTCAGCCAGCGGAGAGAAATCGCCGAAAAACCAAAGCGAGTGGTGATCCGGGCCAAAAGTTGTTGTCCACGCGGCCGGGCAATGTCTTTCTAGAGCAAATGTCTACTGTGCTGTATGTCAGCAGATTGCTCCCGTACAGTAGTACAAGGTCTCCCTTCGGGACGTGGGTGTCTACCCTCCCTCAGGTGACGCAAGACCACATGCGCATTGCCCGAAGAGGGACTGTATGGCTTACAACGCTTGTATTTCCGCACAAAACATCGCGCACGTTGCTATTCTACATTGAAGCCAGCTCGAGCGGACAATATTTTGGCAGCGAAAACTCAGACTTCCATGATGTCTTTGATTGATGATGGCAGATTTCCGATGAGAACCGGATTTGAAGCCGAAACAACACCACAAATGAGACATGTTCAACACTGCAGCTGGATGCATGCTCTCAGACTTGTCTACACTTGGCCAGCTGCGAAGTGTAGTAGACGTAGGTACTGTTGTTGGACAACGCGATGACACGAAGAGTCACAGCCATGAATCATCGAATAAATGAATGAAAGAACGAAATGAAAGTGGAGAGGCAAGAGGCAAATATTTCAAACCGTCGTATTTGATGGGTTTGATAGGTTTCAGAATTGATTCGCCAGGCTTTTTCAGCGCGGAACGCGTCCCCGGGGTTTTGAGCAAGTTTTCGCAACTTTGGCGGTCAACCACACGCGCCACGGAGGCCTACCGAGCTTCAGGAACGGGCGTTAATGTACCGCCAAGCCTCCTGCGTGCCCCTGAGAAGGAATTGCGATAAAAGGCTCGCTGCCGCGAGAGAAAGAAACGCCGAACCATGAAAAGTGACCAAATCTTACATGTACATATAGTGTAGAGGCTTTTCTACTACACCACGCTCAGACTCCCAAAATCTAAAACCCGTACAGCAGTAAGAGGTTTTGTATAGGTTTGTGCATCTAGCTATACTAACTCCTATATACAATGTAGAACACACAGGATACAAGGTCTCGCTTCGGGACGTTGTCAGAACTCTCCTCCCCAAATCTTAATTTGGGTCTCCTAGCGGCTCGTCGTGTCTAAGGCGGTCACACGGGAGGCAGCATACACACAGCTACGGGGGGATGGCTTTGTCATTGCTGTTGCTACAGACTGTGGAAAGAAATCAGGCGTGTCTGTAATGTGCACGATACGTTTAACATTGAACATATTTGCATGGCACCATGAAGAGTGGTACAGCAGTAGATCATCACGCCATCGTGTGGTTTGATAAGCGCGCGTCCTCGTTTTTACTGTCGCGAAACAGACAGGCGTGTTGTTTTTTCTCGTATACATTTATACTTCGTATACATCATGGTGTCATACGTCGCATACGGCTATCCCTTGTAGCGCGCACCTCATGTCGATTAGACAGATCGAAAAAACCCACGAAAGCTCCCAGCAGTCGGAGCAATCAGGACGCATAGACTGCTGTCTATCCTACATGCTCTCGCCGCGTGTACAGGAAGTGGGAGAAGGAACGGAAGGCCGCGGCGTCTACCCAAGCATCGCATCGTTCTTTGGGCGTTCGCAAGCACGTAAGCCCGAGAAGCCCGACGTGGACACGGTCCAACAGACCGGCACCCGCGTGTACTGTGGTACTCTCGGACGATTAGAGTGGACCTGCGAGTGATCCCGCCGCCGGCGACGGTGCGGGAGAGCACGGGGGCGGCTGTGTGGGAGATGGCGGCAGCGATGCGGGAGAGTATGTCGGCGACAGTGCGGGAGAGAATGGAGGCGACGGTGCCGAAGAGCAAGGCGGTACGGTGGACGAGATGGAGCAAGGCAGCTACGGCGGGGGTGGCAGCGTCGACGATGTAGACGACGGCCAACTCCCCCCATGCCCAGGAGTCTTGTATGTTCTGCCCGACTCCAATCGGCTGCCCGTCGCAGACTACCCTTTCTGCCTGCATGGCAAGGGGCAAACGCCATCGCCGTGGTCCTGCACTATCCTTGAAGGTACCGTCTCGCTGCATGCAGTGGCGGACCCAAAGACGGGGAATTGGGCGTGCGAGGGAGCGGCGTCTGCGTACGGTGGGCCGTGCAAGTCATGCCAGTTGCTTTCGGACAATAGGCAACTGAAAGGTGAGCTAACGCAGTGATCAGAGTTGTCAGGCTGTAGAATATTGGCGAATGGTCAGGTGTGAGGGATGCGCACTACGTTCCTGTGTTTCCGAGAAGTCCTTTCCCCCTCCGTTGCAGTAATACTCAATTTTTCCCTGTGGTCTTGATTTGTCGATTCAGGCGTTATCGAACGAGCGAAGGAGGACGCCCTGGTAGTTCGTGACCGTGGGAGGAAGCATGGCGAGCTGACGGCGCACCAGCTGACTGAGCGGGCGAACCTCCATAAAGATCGTACCCAGCAACAGCGTCTACTGTGGTTCAACTCCAGCAAGCACGCGGGGAAACTGACGGAGAACATCGACACCCACAAGCGCATCACCCTGCTCCTTGGATCCAAGAACATCCCCGGTTTAGGGCTAACCCGTGCACGAACGTGCCCATGGAGTGCCCGGCTTGTCGCTTGCGAACCCAAACGGTAGTCGTGTGGAAGTACTGCATGCCGGTGCACGGAATGCACGCGCACGGTGGCCCAGACAGCCCCGGAATTCTCCCGCACAAGGAGTTCGTAATATCGTATCAGTTGAGCGAAGAAGAGGTTAAAGCGGTGAAAGAGTTGACCGAGGGCACGGATCGCCCCGCGAGGCTGGGTCCAAGAAAAAAAAATCTAGGACAGGGGCGGGATCCAGCAGTTCGACTCGTTCTTCGCCGTCGCCGCCCCCTTCAGCTGCTGCTTCTGGGGCTGTTGCTGTCTAGTTTTTTCGCGTGGGTGGCATGGGTATTGCTGGGGGAGTAGATCAAGAGGGACGCCGGAGTATCTCCCGTCCATACCAACAATTGTTGCCTGTTCGGTTATTTTTTTTCTCCTTTTTGTTGTGGGTCGGTTTGTGTCGGACAATACTAACCCTAACCCTCGATCAACGGTTAGAAAACGTGCGTGCTTCAAGTGTTTGTGTCGTTACTGGGTTGAGAACACGGTCATCTTGTCACGGTGGCGATCTACGATACCAGCTTGTCTTGGCGGACTGTAACTTTTTGAGCCTACTTGAATGATTGCCGATGCCGTTCACAGCGGATGGGTATTGTCGTGCCGAAACCAAAGGTTTGAAACGATAATAACAGCACAATGCACATCAAAACTCGAGAGTAGAAGCGCGTCAAACTTCTTTGGAGGTGCTCTCAACTCAAGACAACTCTTTTTGATCCTGTTCTCACACGTTGTTTAACAAATAAATACTTCAACCCGTGGATGGATGGGTCCCTCTATGTTGCTCACCGAATTTCGTAACCCTGCGTGTCGTGCGCGACCCTCAACAGGTTGCACTGTCCTTGGGTTTGTATTTTGTGTGACCAACCGCTGGCGAGACAATCAAAACAAATGAACACATCACGGATATCCGATTTATCGACAAGATTGTGTTCCCACAAGAGATAGGTCTTATATCCAAAAAATCCTCCCTCCAAGCATGTTGGTCGGGTAGATGAGACTGGTACACAAATATGTACAGCAGTTAGGGGGGCGACTGTGCCAACACTCTCCCAAAAGATGTGCCCAACGTGTTGCTGTGTGTTCACTCCACCGTAGTTGACCGCCTGACTTCGTCAGGTCGACGCTCTGCTTGCACACGGCGCCAAAATTGCCGTGTGCAAGCGTGCAGCCTCAACCCCCTATATTGCCCTGCAATCTTGGACTGGGGGTGGGGGAGGGGGGGCTGGAGTGTTCCACGGTTTCCATATGGAGGGCCCCTTGGTGCCGCTGAAGTTCTGCCTTATCACTGTTGGCATCACAATGAATGACATTGGAAACATTTTGAAAACATCGAAAAATCTAAGCTGGCTCCTATTTAATGCCCTCTTGACCTGCAATACGCATAGGATACAAAACAAACGCTCATTCATTTGGAAACAACAGTAGAACGCCCGCAGAGCATCAACTGCATGGATTGTATTGCTACGGAAAACCTCAACAGCACTGAAGTTGTGTGCGTGTATTTTTTGGATCAGCATGGACCGCCCTAACCGGCTGACCGATGAAAATATGTCATATGGGTGTACTGCGGCAGCCCGCTCCACATACTGATGTTGGTAGCATGGTGTCGTTCGTACCCGACCCGCTCTTTCGGTGAAGATGCGCCCATATACCCGCCGACAGACGCTCACACCCGCCCGGCCAGCTGCGTGCCCGATTTTTCGGCGGTGGCCACTCGATGACCCAATCAAAGAAGGCCAAAACCGACCGGAAGGCCAAACGTAAATATGCAAGTGCAAAATCCACGTTTTTGAGTACTTGTACCTATTGCTGAAGAACGCGACACAGCACTGAAGGTGGTGTGTGAATACTCTGCTGTCCGGCCGCGGTGACTGTGTGCCTGCTCTCCTATGGCTGGCTGGGGCTCGCACATCCACTCACTCTTTGTCAAACTCTCAGGGAGAGATGCATTCTGACACCACCCACGCTCATCCGCTGGAGCTGCAAAACGATTCTTTGGCGGTGGCATCCGTCCAACGTCCGAGCCTGCCTCAAGCGTTTCTCTGCATTGCTCTGCATCTCTCCTGACAGCGCGACGACACGGCTAGACTACTGTGGTCATGACATCAATGGATGTATGAACGAGGTTTCATCTGGTAAAAATACAGTGGAACAGTGGGTTCTAACCGTTTCGTTCGTGGTGACCTGGTCACTGAGCAGATTGGGGAGGTGTCATCCAGTCACCCGCAACACGCCGTAGTTCTCCGACACGGCGAGCGCAGATCTCCGAAAAAGAGCGAAGCAAGTCGACCAGCCTGCTCGTGCGTTTTATGTTTTGTCCAAGCACGGAACCCAGACATGACGGACGTCCACGAGACTTCGGGAGGATGCGTGCTATGTATGGGCTCACCTGACCGCGCCCGAGCACAGGTCTCTCGCCTTCGCCGTTGGCGAGCACGCCCCAGAAAAAAAAGTCAAGGACTCTTTTATGGACCCTCCCCGCGAGTCTTTACTACAAAGGGCAAAAGTTCATTGCGTAGATTGTGTAGATCAAGGGGGACTCGTAGATAGCTTCAGGAGCTTACATAGAAAATGGTGTCGAAGAACCCTATCGTCCTCAGTCGGTCGTTTACTAGAACCAAAAACTCAATCCCCTTTAGGAGCATGGGAACTCGTGAAAAAGCAGGTACCGGTACTATCTCCTAAATCCAATATACTCTACGAGCTGTCCGTGACAAACACATACGCATCCCATCGTTCGCCTTATCTTTCTCATGACTGTGCTTAACTTCCGAGGTCAAACAACGAGGACAAATCGACTTCACACCCGGTCAAGAGAAGAAACGCAAGCGCCTTAGAACAAGAAAGGGTGTGGCGAGAACGTACACCCACAACCTCATCAACTCTGCCTGTCTGTTGTGCGGTATTCCTCCTGTATATGTTGCTGCATGTGGGTGGCCCCGGTTGGTGCGTCGAAAACAACATACGAAGTACTACTATGCTACGCCAAACGGAAGATATTGCTCATATTGCACGAACAATCGTTCTGAGGAGAAATATGGTCAACAATATCCGATGCAGGTTGCCGAGTAGTGTGTTTGGTGGAGGAAGAGGCAACACTTGGATAGTGCAGGGCGTGACATTCGCAGGCAGGCAGGCCTGTAAACACAGATTACCGTGTACCCACGGCTGCTTCACCGTTTTGATTTTCTTTTTCTTGGAATAAATTTCGTGTTGATTGAATGATCACAGAGCTCTTGTTCCGTTACAATGACGTCGCGGAGCTGCGTGGAACGCTGTGTGCCTGCTGTGTTAATTGCTGTTTTGCCTTAACAAAAACAAAAAAGCGAGAAAAAAAACATTATCGCGGGTCAAATTGGTAGGTGTTGAACAGCTACAGCAGCAGTAGACTTGATTTCGATGATACGAATCACTCCATCTAAAAGAGTTCACTTCGATCACACGAATCGCGTGCCCTCTCTATCCAGTGTGGGACCAGCAGCAGTGTGCACACAGCAGCGTGAGACACACATAATAGTATACGACACAGGAGCACACAGCAGTGTCGAACTCGGTCAGGACATACATGTAACACGAAAGAACGAACCACGAACGCATAAAAGTCATGTTGGCGCAGACCAAAAAAACGTTGTTGGATCGGTAGACAATGAATAGAAGGAAGAAGGGTGGAGAACTTCTGCTACTTCATCCAAGCACCCAACACATGAATCCAATGACATTCTTCATTAGATCAAAGTTGAACTGTGATCACTCAGAAGCTCTTTACTTGGCCAACACTGAACGGGGGGAGTAGTAGTATCGGTTCGTTTGGTGTAGATTCGGCTAGCTGCCATCAACACCAAAATTCAAACCGATGAGGGTTTGAACTCAACTCCCCGAGTGTTGGCAATATGAAGGGTTTCCGAGAACCAGGATGAGCAGAGCTAGCCGCACATGCCATCAGCATCGGGGCCCGAAGCTTACGGGTGGTGGAGAGGATGTGTGAGACCGACATTTCAAAGAGAGGAGCAGCAGCAGCGAGAGCGGAAATTTTTGTTGCTGACGTTTGAAGACTGACTGACTGAGGTATTCCGCTGCTCTCCGTTCTGTTCTTCCCCGTGATTTTGTCGGCCTGTGACCCGTAGTGTACAGTGCATGTATGCCATGTGTGGGACACAGCACAGCAGTGTGTACACACAGCAGTGAGTGTGCGTGGGACGACATTAGTAGCAAAGTCGGCTACTGATGTGCGACTGGTATCCCGCTGCTGCTCCGTTCATTGACGTGTGCTTCTACTGCTGCTGCTGTTCCCCATGGTTGTGTCCGTCTGTGACCCGTGATGGTGTACAGTGGGTGTATGCTATGTGTGGGACAGAACAGTAGTGTGTACACAGCGGTGTGGGGCACACAGCAGTGTGGGATTACGAACTCACGAACGGGTTTTTTACAACAGTGTGCTTGCTCGTTGCTGTTGCACAGCTGTGCCGTGTCGCTATGCAATGTGTACACCGCAGTGACGGGGCACACCGCCGTGTGGGAGCACACAGCAGTGGAGTGTGGGAGGCAGTCAGTGTGGGAAGTTCTTGTCGGAATCTGTGTGCATGCATGGTTTGAAAATATTGGGGCGGCGGCGGAATTTTTTCTATTGCCCACAAATCACCCGGGGGTTCTTTTTGAGGGTTTTCACGAAAAATCACAACTTTGTGACACTGGCTCGGAATGAAAAAAAACAAAAAGGTCCGGGTACCTCATGAGCTGGAGGAAAATAGATTCAAGCTATACACATTTCGGAGAGGGCAGTAGGATGTGTGTGCAGTGTAATTTCTTGTTTCGCCCGGGAAAAAACGCGAAAAAAGACCGATTCGCGATGGTCAAACGACATGGTGAGATTTGGATTGTTCTTTTTGTCTTTCCTTCAAATCAGCCCTCACAAAATTTCTGCCGTTTACTCCAACCCGTGGTCACACAGGGTTTTTCCCGAGCCCCCCCTTCCTGCGGCATTTTGCCTTCGATTTGCGACAAGAGTGCAGCAATCTCTTCCCTCTGTGTACACACCAACTAGAGCTTTCCACCGAGGCGAGGAACGGAAGCTAGAGAAAAACTCACTTTGCAACAAAGCTCGGTTACGCCGGGATACGAATCCCTGGCTCTGACTCTGACATGTTGAAAACATCAATGTACGCGAAACCAACTGGAGCAACCAAGTTGAAAACGCGGAACACTCCCCCCTCCGGCGCATCGTTCCCAACCGTCACAAACAATAATTTGCACCAACAGGCGTCCAACCAATGCCGTGACACTGGATTGGGTAAAGGCTCTGATGTCCAACTACCGTGCCGGTCTAGCGGCATGTGCTGCGAAGAATCCCATCTTTGCCTCACGGAGGAAATGCCCGGCCTTGCTCGCCAATGCCACACAGCTCCGCGTACTCTTCTAGAGGACCAAAAAGCGCAGACAGCTCCGCGAACGACGGCGGCGCCTTCATCCCCCCATCCCCCCTCACTCTCAGAATCTTCGGTGTTGTCTATTATAGCTCTAAATAGTTCGCGCATGCCAGCATGATACGTGTAGCGTGGCGACCGCGGCTGTGAGTGTCGTGTGCGTGTTTTTATAATTAGCATCGCCCGCGCTAACCGGCTGACCAATGAAAAGACGTCAGCCTCAGTGCGGTTGAAAACACAAAACACTTCTAAGTGCCATTAACTGGGACCCCGTGAGGGAGCGGCATGGAGGAGGCGAAGCTATTTTCCGTATGAAAGACAGAAATGGTAGCAACAGAAGAAAACTGCACGCGTCTTCCAAGGCTGCTACCTTGCAGTCGATTGTGTGTGAGGTGCGTGCGGTGAAATACAGGAGGGGGGCGACCTTTTGAATTGCCTCTATTGGGGGGATGAGATGCCCAAAATGCCACCATTGAGGGCCCCGTCCTCAATAGTCCTCAATAGTGGTCCAATGCCACTATATCGGGTTGAGATTGTAACAAGAAATTTGGGTGCCACTATCTCGGGCAATTCACTATTCAGGGTGCCCCTATGTCGGGACCACTACCGTAGTCGGTTTAAACGGCGAACCCCAAAGTCGGACGCACCACAGTGCAGTACGCGTGAATCGCCAAAGACAATGCTATAACATAGAAACACGAGGCAGGAATACATAAAAGAGTTTTGTCCGTGACATAAAACTGTTGTTGCGAGGGTCTCCTACCGCAAACCTTCGCATGCTTGCCCTTTTGACTCATTTTGTTGATGGTTTTTGCATCGTGCACAAAACAAACGCATTCCCAGTGGAACCCGTTGGCAGTGGAAAGAGAATTCTTTCTTGCCTACCTTGGCCTCGAAAGTTATGTACGGTACCTTGACGAAGAGAGATCCTGCCGGATCACCTCTACATCGACCATCCGTGGAGAAGCAGCGACCGCCCACAATGCCTTCCAAAACAGTTCTGGAATACACGGGTTAGCTCGCTATCACGGAAAGTTCTTTTTACCAGGTGCACTTCGCGTATAGAAATTTGGCGAGATATTATTAACGTGAAGACAACACTATCAATTGCACCGGCTGGTCGTGGCCAGAATATCCCTGCCGCGATGAAGTCATGGAAGCAGTGTAGGTGGTAATAAGAACCCGTTGCCCCCCAATACAACGGTCTGGCCATTTGTTCGAACCCCGTGTGATGCTGTTGTCTTATGTCAAAGCCACGGTTAGACGCGAGTTGACAAGAGAAACGAGACGGAACCCATATGCGCGATGAAGGTCCAATTGAAAGGAAAGAGACAAAACCTGTCCGGACTCTGTCAGGCTGATCAGGGCGAAAAATTAAACATGCGCGCCCCCTGCAAATGTCACCTGCAAAGGGTCACTATCGAAAACTGAACTCGCTCAGACAAAGTGGATACATGACTTGCCCAGATAAATTTAGTTTGCGTCTCTCTTCCTGCACCCAACGTCCGACGTTTTCCATAATCGCATTATGCCCAAACACGCCATCTTACCTTGGCTAGAAGGTGGTCTGGTATCTCCCCCTCAAGCGCAAATTGCATGGAGGCCGGGCTCTTGATCAGCAGCTTCCCGGTACCCATGACAAACGACGCATCTGTATTGCCGATGCCCGTCGCGAACTGCCCGAATGCACCCGCGTTGCACGTGTGCGAGTCCGTCCCAAACAATACCTTTATCAGGCAGGGGGGTGAAGCACAGACACATGAAATGTTGGCAGGGTTTCTTTCGGCGGCATACGCCGCCACATGCGTGACGCGAGCCCTAAGATGAATGGCAATTGGCGTTGGGCTTGTTGAATTGGTATTCTGGCGGTCATGTGTTTCCTGACGAAAAACAAAACACGAAAGCGCGACCGATGGCGTACTTCAACCATACAAAAATACGCCAATAACCAGAACTTCATGGCGCGAAGTACTGCTGCTGCATTGCTCTCCACACGCCACCTAGTGCGCCAAGCTGCTTGTGTACTCCCGTGGTCTGCACTGCTCAACAGAGTGAAAACCCGGTTGCATGCAGTTCGGTGGGCAGGCGAAGGAAGGATCTTCACGACAGTACCATGCGGAACCCTTGCGGTGTCAAACATACACCAACGCGGAGCAACAGAGACACAAACACAGACGCACAACCGCCAAACGCTCGGCACTTCACAGTACTGCCGCCGGCGAAAATGAACAACGGTTGCGGGAAACGCAAACAATAGACCCCATCGGGCAGCACCCGTAGCGTGCAAAGGGTCGGGATCGTTGCGCAAGCAGCCCCCTAATTCTCTCGAGAAGATCATCGGTCCAGCCAAATCAGACCATTGGAGAGGCTGTACAGTCCCGATGGACGAAAGGCTGACTTGGTTTTAGACAAAGAAGTGTCCCCATTTGTACTCCCCAAACCTGAAAATAACAAACACCCAAAACACAAACGCAGCCAGCACAAGAAATTAATACATGGGGACAATTTCCGTACTTCAGCCAAGCCAGAAGTTTTCTTCTATGGCCAACAAGGGGAAAAGCGGCTTGGGAGATATTTTTACAGCAAGTAAAGAGGCCGAGGAAGAGGCATAACACAGTATATCACAGAGCGTACTAGCTTACACAAGCACGGTAGACCGAGGTTTCCCACGCGAATTTCACACCAGCGGAGTCTAGTGACGACTACGGTGCGGTAAACGGACGTTCGAATGCTGTATCCCCGAAGTGTCCCCACTTGGCGTCCGGCACTCGTGCAGATTTCATAAAATTATCGACGATAAGGTTGCCTGAAGCCTACACGGCCTCGGTACTCTGACGGATTTTTGGGGACAAAATAGTTGATTGATAGGGCATGGCCCTTGACAATCTTGACCCAAGATGTGACGCAAAATCTTTCCCTGAAAAGAGTTGAGGCAAAACAAAATCCTGTCAAGACTTGACGCCAAAGCATCATCTCGAGATCTCTTCGTGGCCTCAAACACAGGCAACAACACACACACAACTACTTGGCCGGGGAGTAGGGCACCGAGTCGTCCTACGGCGTTGAGAGATAACTCTCCCCGAGGAAAAAATGTCATGTCCTACAATGCAACAACCTTAACCATGCTGCAGAGTGGTGGAAACAGTGATAAAGATCGACGTCGACTGTTCGAACGCGCCCTGCGCACTACAAAAAAGTAACACACGGTTCGCGTTTGAAAGGACAAACGCAAGACCTGTGCACCATGGTGACTGGAGGTCTAGTCTATTCATCCAGCTGTCGTCCGGCCACGGTGGGGGAGAATTGAGAGGCCTACCAAAAGAGGTACATACACCTGTTTGGCGAGCGGTGGTGTGCTTGAGGTTTGTTTCTCTACTTTAAGGCCGAACGAAGAAATGCCTTCAGCGTGGTCTTTACAAGGAAGGTTTCAGTCCTGCCGCTTACCTCCGGTCGGTATGCAGACGGGTTCAGCTCAAGATGGGGTCAGAGCACACCAGTCAACAATTTACATGTACAGGAGTGAAGAACTCGCAACACTCTGGTGCATCAAAGTGACGGCCATTCAGCCGGTTATTGCACCGTGCCATCCTTTATCACATCCCTCATGCTTTGGGGGTTAATTTTGCACTGATGGCAAAACGATGATCACGATGCGGGAAGCCAGTCGGACCATGGTGGCTTTGCTGATTCTGCCATGCAGACTTGAGGTGCATAAGCTACTCTTACACTCAGCAACGGGATATCCTGGTGCAACAATAAACCGCACATGGCGACCACATGACACAAACGTTGAACTAGTCCGCCAGCTGCGTTCACTTATCAAATGAATCTGTCAAGATTGACATTCGTGGGTTGGGGCCGCCCGCTCGAAGCTATGACCAATGACTACACACAGCAGGGACGCACGACCCTACGGCAAGTGGTTCAAGTTGAAAAACAATAAATCATGCCTGCTGAAGGGGTGTATGATATGCACGTCACCCCGTGGCAGGTGGCAACATCGAAACTTTTTTGCGCTATTTAGATTGCTGATTCGAATCTCTCTGGACTGAAAAATGGTTATTAAGAGGCGAAAAACGCGCGGTTGTGAGTGCACACAAAGAGAGCGAAGGAGATGCTAAGGCGTAAAAAATTGAAGGCAAGCCCCGCAGGGGAAAACGTGGAGAAACAAAAAACTCCAGGTTTTTACTTTCCTACTCGGTAACCCGTAGTACGTCCAACGTGTACCGATACGTGCGCAGACTGGCAACCATACTGGATGGGGCGATATTTAACACATCGCATGGTTTACGTCAAATACTCAGCACAGCTCCGGCAACAGTCATATTGCGTGTGTTTCTTACCTCTCCAGGCCTAGTGTGGCCCTCCTGGGCGAGAGCAACGTGGCAAACGCCTTTGTAGTCCGGGTTTGCCTTGAAGTTGCCGCGGTCGGTGATGTCGTAAAAGTACTTGATATCCTAATTTAAGCGAGAGGAGTACCCGGAAAACCGAATGGTTCGCACGAGTCGTTGTTTGGTAAAGGGGAAATTTGCAAGCATGGCGCGGACGGCTACGAGAAGGCGTCAGAGAGGAGGATGGTAGCTGGGGTGGTCCGGTCGTGCGATGATGCACTGATTCGCTCGTGATTTTCGCTCTGCACTACGAGCAAGGCACGTTTCCTTCGTTGTCGGAAATGCCGAAGGAATACCAAAATCTTCGAGCCTCCCGTCATGCACCATGTCGCCACATGCTCTGACGAGCGAGCCTCATCTCTCTCAGTTATTGTAATACAAACCTTTCGTTATTAGCCGTGAGAGACGGTTTCAGTCATGATTGGCTTTTTGTTTGAGCAACCCATTGCGCTGGACCGAAAAAAGACGAACTGTACAGGTCGGCGAGAGCGCACGCCCCAAAAATGCCTCCAACGACCACTTCGAGAAAAGACGATCGACTCGAGAATCATTCGACATTGCGTTTAGTAAGGGGGAATACAATGCACCCCAGTTCGCGCATTCCGCTCAGGCATCGCCCACATCTCAGGCTTTGGTAACTTTTGTTTCGATATATGTCACTGTACCCAACACCCAACAACTTCGGCAAGATTACATTGTTTTTGCCCCACCCCATACTTCGGTATCAGTTTGGGGGCAGTGTGCAATGAATACTCGATCCTCGACTACATCCTGGTAGATAGGGGGGAGCACACAGATCCCAGAGCTGCACGTAAGTGCGATAGATATAGGTTCGACCGACCATTTCCTCATATGGGCAAACATCGACCGATCTAGAAAGACGGAGAGTAAGAAACAGAGGAAAGTGTTCCGGTGGAAAATAGAGCGTTTGGGAGACGAGGGGACGCGGGATGAATTCCAGAAAGGACTGGCTGGTAGTGTAGAACCCTTCAGGAAACTGCTGAGAAGCGTCGAAGACGAACAGGTAGACGTACAAGCAGCAGGGGACAGGGTGATTGAAGGATGGGAGTCCATAGTGAACATAACGGCAGAGAGAGTAGTGAGAAAGAAGGTGGTACGATGTGGGGTATCGGTTAAGTGGTGGGATGACGAGCTGAAAGAAGACATAGGGGACCGTAGAGAAGTCTTCAAGCAGTACCTGAGTGAGGGATCTGAGGAGAGTTGGGAAAAGTACAGGGCCAAGAGGAAACAGGTGAAGGACTAGTGAAAAAGAAGAAAAAAGTGCACACCCTGTACAACTACTTTAGGTGGTAGTTGTTTGCCAGACAACTACTCTTCCAGGAGGGTGCGCACCTAGTTGGCTGCAGACACCTACTCTTCCAGGAGTGTGCGCACCTAGTTGGCTGTAGATGACTACTCTTTCAGGAGCGCGCGCACCTAGTTGGCTGCAGACACCTACTCTTTCAGGAGAGTGCGCACCTAGTTGGCTCTAGATGACTACTCTTTCAGGAGCGCGCGCACCTAGTTGGCTGCAGACACCTACTCTTTCAGGGGCGTAAGCACCTAGTTGGCTGCAGACACCTACTGGTTCAGATTTGTGCGCACCTAGTTGGCTGTAGATGACTACTATTCCAGAATCGTGCGCACCTAGGTGTTTACGAACAACTAGCCGGTGGTTGTCTGTCTAACAACTAACTTAGCTGGCTTATTAGTTAGAGTTGATAGTCTGTCCTGGAGTTACAAAGAGAACGCATTAACAGTGGTAGTAGCAGTGAGAGGTCGTTTCTGCGCAGAAAGGGGTGCAGACGAGGAAGATCAGCCAAACCTTACACCTTGTGAACCTTTATCGATCTATTCCTGGTGAAACGAACCACAATACACGCAAGCATGCTGTGTGATGATCCGCGAGCATGACACGCCAACCTAGCCAGATGACCAGGAGCTCTCTCCTATGCGAGGGAGACCTGCCAAACAACATCCGCTTATTATGCTGGGTCGTGAAAAAAACTAATTGAACATGCATCATCGACCGTCACTGCCTCTTTTTCCGACGAACCAATCCCTCCGTCTGTTTGCTGGCCACCATCTGCTGGTGGTGCTGGTGTAGGGTCGGCTGGTGGAACAGCCGCCGCCATGTGGTGCGCTTGTTCGCTCGTTGGGTGGTGTGTGAGAGAGTGCGTGGTGTGCGGTGGTAGTGTACTGCGCCGGCAGCTGTTCTGTATTGACTGTTGACACCTACCCGTCCGTGTGTATCTGTGGGTGCGACTGCGTGGTCTGCAGTAGTAGTCCCCTGCTGCGCCGGCAGCTAACTGTTCTATATTGACACCTGCCCGTTCGTGTGTATCTGTGAGTGCGACTGCGTGGTCTGCAGTAGTAGTCCCCTGCTGCGCCGGCAGCTAACTGTTCTATATTGACACCTGCCCGTTCGTGTGTATCTGTGAGTGCGACTGCGTGGTCTGCAGTAGTAGTCCCCTGCTGCGCCGGCAGCTAACTGTTCTATATTGACACCTGCCCGTTCGTGTGTATCTGTGAGTGCGAGTACGTGGGGTGCGGTAGTGCCCTGCTGTACCGACAGCAACAAATTGTTCTTTATTTACACCTGGGTAGTGAGCCTGTCTGTTTGTGTGTGCGTGACGCATGCGGTATTGTAGTGCGGTAGTCCACCTGTGGCGCAACTAATACTAATGTTCTATTTTGACATCTGCCCGTGTCTGTCTCTGTTTGGGTGTTAGTGTGTGCGATTCTGTGGTTGACAATTGCCCGGGCAACAAACAACGTGAACATGTTCTATATTGACAACAGCCCGGGCACCTAGTTGGCTGCAGACACCTACTCTTCCAGGAGGGTCCGCACCTAGTTGGCTGCGGACACCTACTCTTCCAGGAGGGTGCGCACCTAGTTGCCTGTAGACACCTACTCTTCTTGGAGGGTGCGCACCTATTTGGCTGCAGACACCTACTCTTCCAGGAGGGTGCGCACCTAGTTGGCTGCAGACACCTACTCTTTCAGGAGGGTGCGCACCTAGTTGGCTGTAGATGACTACTCTTTCAGGAGCGTGCGCACCTAAATAGTTGGCTGTAGATGACTACTATTCCAGGAGCGTGCGCACCTAGTTGGCTGTAGATGACTACTCTTCCAGGAGCGCGCGCACCTAGGTGTTTACGAACAACTAGGCGATAGTTGTCTGGCAAACAACTAACTTTAGTCAGTTATTAGTTAAAGTTGTACAAGGTGTGAAAAAGTGCACTTGGGACGAAGTAGTGCACAAGGCCAACGGAGGCCTGGAGGGGAACGCCAAGCAGATGTGGGAAGGGATTAGTGGGATGGTAAAAAAGACCGCGCAAGGGGGGGATACAGGGGTAGCAACTTTGCGACGTGTGAAAGGTGGACTAGTCAGCAGTGGGAAGGGAACAAAAGAAAGTTCTAGCAGGACACTACAAGAGACTTGGAGTGCCTTCGGAGAATGAAGCTTTTGACCAAGTGTTTAAGAAGGAGGTGGACGCTTGGGCCCAGAAAGAAGCAGAGACATCGAAGGCAGACGTTGGGAACGTAGAACTAGAAGAGGAGTTCACTGAGGACGAGGTTGAGGCGTGTGTGAACAAGCTGCACTGCCACAAAGCAGCAGGGGCGGATGGGATAGTCAACGAGTTCATGAAGTTTGGGGGGAAGGGGATGATCCAGTTGATGGTACTGCTGTACAACTGGGTGTGGAAAAACGAGTATATGCCAAGTAGATGGAGGGAAGGAGTGGTTGTGAACTTGTTTAAGAAAGGAGACAAGACTGACCCAGGAAACTACAGGGGTATCACACTGTTAAACACAGTAGGAAAGTGTTTTGTAAGTTGCTGAACGATAGGATAGTGGGAGTATTGGAGAAGGAACGTAGCATTAGTGAGGGCCACGCAGGTTTCCGACAGAAGAGGGGGTGCGTAGACCACGCATTCACGGTAGGGAGAATCATCCAAGGTAGAAAGAGGGCGGTAGCGCCGACGTACTGCTTCTTCCTGGACGTGAAAAAGGCATACGATACCGTATGGTGAAATGGGCGGTGGAAACAATTGTCCCAAGTACGGGATCAAGGGGAAAATGTTGAGGGTGCTGAAGAAGATGACAGAGTGTACGAAAAGCGCGGTCATGCTAGACGGAGAACTGTCTAAGTTCTTCGACATTGAGCAGGGGGCCCCACAAGGTTGCACGCTGTCCCCAACATTGTTCCAGGTGTTCAACGATCTGTCGGAAGTCGTAGAGGCAGTCCGGAAGGGAGTAAAAGCAGGGGACACGGAAACTTCGGTGTCAGGAATGCTGTTTGCGGATGATTTCGTTGTCCGACACCCCTGAGGGACTGCAACTGCAAATTGACGCGGCGAAGAAGTTTACTGATAAATGGAGATTGTTTGCCAACGTTAAGAAGAGTGCCGTCATGGTGTGCAACGAGGTCAGGGAGGAACCAGTAGAACATACATGGAAGTGGGGGATCGAGGAGGTTGCAGTAGTGGACCAGTACACATACCTCGGAGTAGAGATTGCAAACGACTGCTCGCGGAATGCACACATGTCCAAGGTAGCGGAAAAGGGCAAAGCACGAGCAGGGAAGCTGCACCCAATACTCGCAAACCGGCACCTCGATACACGCATCAAATTGGCGATTTTGAAGAGCGCAATCGTTCCGCCGTTAGAGTACGCGGAGAAGTATGGGAAGGAAATAAGAACTAGAGGCGGCGCAGATGAAAGCAGCGAAAATCATCCTAGGATGCTCCAAGCGCACAAGCAATGCAGCCGTAAGGGCAGAATTGGGGATCCAATCCCTACGGTCGGGAAGAGACGCAAGGAAGCTGACATGGCAGTATCGCATGTGCGGGATGGGAGAGGAGAGGTTGCCGAAAATAGTATGGGAGGCGAAGTGGACAAACAAAAAAGAGGGGTAAACTCACGGAATGGGTCAAGGTTGTAGAGGACGTATGGAAGGGGTTAGACATCTACGAAGATGAAACGCTGGAAACGGAGGGTCTACAGGGGTTCAAGGAGAAGATATCTGTTGCTTGTGCCGAGAGAGAAGAACAGAATCT